GCAATTCAAAAATGTTTTATCAACCATAAAGCATAAAGTGTTGGCATTAACGAGCTGTTTATCAATTTATAACAATTATTCATATTTTTTGTTTTTGTTTTCTCTTTTGTTTTGCCATTAAAATGTGTTGTCAATATGAAATGTAAAAAGAAGAAAAGAAAAAGAAAAGTTAACCTAAAATTAAATATAATTCAGACAAAAAAGAAATCAAAATAAATTTGTGATATTGTTGTGTTTGTATTTTTACAAAATTATTTTATGCAATAATTTTAAATTTTGAAAAATTTAGCATTCTTACTTTTTTATAGAATAAAATAGTGGATTTTATTTCAATAAAAAAAGAACCCTTTAATAGTAATTATGAGTGAATGTAAATAATTGTTTAAGATTGATAGCAAAGGTAAATTTTTATGGTAAAAGGAAATTACATAATAATTTTAGAATAAATTTTTATTACACGCCGATATTTAATATAACAATTTAAGTTTTTTATTTTATATTTGAAAATGATTGAATTGTATCTCAAATTGATAATGTAAAATATAAATGTGATATCAGTATGGAGAATATCATCATTTTCTCTGATTTAATTCAAATTTGATATAAAAATGAAATGTTAGAGGAAAGCATCCAAAAAACTTTTACATATTACTTTTTTAAGATAGCAAACTTCTTTGCCATCGGCTCAATCTCTTCGTTTCCGTTTATTAAGGTATTTATTATACAGGTGCATACAACTGAAATTTACCTGTATGATTATTGGACAATAATAATATTCAAAAAATAAAATTAGTATTTATTCAAAATTGTAATAAATATAAAGCCGAGGGAAAAAATTGAAACTGACTTGTAATTTTAATTTAAAAATTTCGGTAGTATTTGGATTACTACCAATCAGATCACTCTCTTTCTGAACCAAATTTCCAAACTTTCTCTCCACTTTTGAACCGTATAATTTGCCAATGGCTATAAACTGTATTGGAAGAATAAAATTATTAAATAACTGGCAAAATTTAAAGTTTAGGAGAATAGAAAAACTTAAATTATTTCTATGAAAGAAATTTGTCAATGATTATTAACTATCACGAAGAATAGAGAAATTTTCGTACAAATTTTTAATTTTAAGATTTTTTTGTTCAATTATCAAATTTATTTCCAACAATATTAAAGGTTAAAGGTTAGCTTGTATCTATCTTTTTTAGAATGGAAGTTCATATATAACAAATAGTTTTATTATTAGGAACAATTAATAAGTGAATTGAATTCGTTTATCTTTCAGTACCAGCATGTAAATTCAATTTTGGTATCCATCAATAATAGTAAGTAATGGTTTTATACAGATCCATTCATTAAAAATTGTAATAAAAATTACCTTATAATATGACATTTTAGAAATATTATTTACACTATGTATTTCATTTGTCAAATAATTATTACCAGTTTTTTGAATACAACACTTCCGGAATATTTTATCCGCGATGTTCGACTCCGAGATAATATTGTTGAGATATTTACATCAAATTAACATAGCGCCCTAATCTTATCAAATTTGCTAGCAGAAAAATAGCGAGTAATGCGTTCATAACAGAAATGATAATTGAATAAGTTTCGATAAGAAATGATTACGATTGACTTATAAGAATTTAATAAATTTCAATTAGACACACTCAATTAATAGTTATTATGAAAGAGTAAATTATGATTGATTGGAAAATTTTTAAATTTATTTAAATTTAAACATGCGTAGACTGCCAAGATTATCTAATAATAATCAATTGAAAAAGTTGATCAAACCATTCAATCCTAATTATTCTTTATCATTAATTAATCATTAATACCATTGAATAGAATAATATTCCTAAAAGTTTGCAAATATACAAAAATGAAAGAATATGAAGGAGAAAGAATGAAAAGAAATTTTTCGGTGAAAATTTTCATCGATCATGTTTGTTCTATGATTTGTTGAATTTTTACCTAAATGCTTCATTAATATATTTCTATGGCGGTACTGATGAAAGAAAGTTGTTGTCAAATTTTTTTCAATTTTATTTTTATCTTTTAACTAATGATAGAGAGGGAGGGAGAGAGAGAGAGAGAAAAAAGGGGAAAGAGAGTTTTTGTATTTTTTTATTACAATAGTCATAAACTTTAAAATTTATGAATAAATTTTGTTGCAAATAAAGAAAATAATATTGTTCTGTTTTTGAGTGAAAAGAAAAAGTGGAAAAAGAAAGATATGCAAAAATTAGTGAAACATAGATGTTGAAGAATTGATAAGAGATTGAAATTGAGATTTGAAATAAAGAAGGTTATTTTAATTTTCATTGGAGAATTAATTGTTTGAAAGGAAGAAAAAAAGAATATATAAAAGTTTTAGCAAAAAAAAAAGATATTACCATTTCGATATTATCATGATTACAAATAATTACGATTACTCTAATAATTGCAATATTTATTATGAATTGATAATTCGTTCGATTTATTTTAATTCAAACTTTACATCATTTCGTTTATTTCAATTGAAATTTCATTTGACTTCTTTATTTCAGTAAAAATTTTTTGAAGCATCTTCGAAGAAGTTTATTTGCATCAATTTGGAACAAAATTTTTGCTTAACTAATCTAACCATATTTTATTTATCTTATCTCATTCATTATGCTAATGTAATTATATTTAATCACCTGGTACAACTTAGTTTCACTGATGCTTGACCTTTTTTATCTTCCTTTGTTATCAATTTCAAATAAAGTGATCAAAATGAAAGGAATAAATATTCTTGTTAGTTATACATTTTGTTCAATTTCATTATCAAAATGTATTGTCAATGTCAAAGTTTCATAATCATTGTCAAGGTTTCATAATTATCGTCAAAGTTTCATAATCAAAATCTTTTCTCTTAATCTTTAATTTATTTTTTGTTAAGTAAAGATTTGTTTTAAATAAATAAATATTTTTCACTGAAATCATTGACTTTTTTCCTCCTTCTTTAGCAGTTTTGAATTTCTAAATCAAATTTTCAAGAATCTTTATCAACGGTGAGAAGATGGAAGCTGTAAGGAAGAAAAAATTTAATGAAATTAACTTATCCAATTTAGCTTTCTATTTTTCTTCATTGAATTTAATTTCAATTTTTATTTTTTTACGTTAATTTTAATTTTAATGTCGTCTGTTTCTTTTTTTCTTTAACATTAGCTTTTCCTTTTTTATATTAAATTTAATTTTAACATTTCCTTCTTTTTTATACTACAATTTTTATGTTTTATTTCGTTTTTACAAAATATAAAATGAAATCGATCGATTAGATCAATAAATAAAATGAGTGATTAAGAAATGATAATTAAAAGGTGACAGCAATAAGTAATTAAATCATTCTTCTCCTTCTCATTTTTTACCCTTCTCATAAAATTGATAAAAAAGAAGAGTTATTATTCCCAGCACATTTTCAAATAGACATGACGGGGTCATCATCACAAATCGATAGTTGAAGAGAGCAATACCAAATTCATCCATTTCCACCCATTCTTCTCATTTTCCGCCAGAAATCACTAATGTATTAACTTTATTGTCACCTGCTCTTCTTTCTTGACCCTTCATTGTACGAACATTTCTATTCATCTATCTTCACAAATGAAATTTTCCGAATTTTTCATTGTACCATTTGTTTTAATTATATGATATTGTTAAATTATGTATGGAATATTTTTATGATTTTTAATTTTAATATTTCACATACTAAATTTTAATTAATTTTAAGTATTTAATTGATTAATTTTTTTCGTTAATGTTCAAACAATTTTTTTATATGCATTTAATTTTTTTTTATAGAGAAATTAGCATTTCAAAAGAATAATTTATCATTAGTGAATTGATGAAGTGATAATCGCGGTACAAATGTATTTTACATATGAAATATTATCAATTTTATAACGTTATCCAGGATATCTCAGGTAAGTCTTTAAGATCTTCAAGATAGACGACTCTATTTTATTCTTTGCTCTTTTGAGCAATTTATTTAATTGTTGTGTTAGAAAAATTTTTTGTAAAACTCTAAATTATCATTCATCTTATTTATCCAGGATATCTCAGGTAATCCTTTAAGAATTATACCTATTCTATTCTCTCTCTTAAAGCTATCAATTCAAATTAAATATTATGCATTGAAACTAATAATTTTGCATGTAAAATAAATGAAACTGTCGAAAATTTCATCGTTAGCTTAGCAAAATATTTACAAAATTAAAGAGAGAATTAATTTTAAAATTTCCAACAATTTATTATTAATTTTTCTCAAAAATATTAAAACATATGGAAATTTATTTGTAAATTTTTTCAAAAAATCAATCAAAATTATTCGTTCGTTCTTCTTTTTCTTTTCATTTTAATTTTACAACGTTTTTTTCATCGATGAATAATATTTTACAATGAAAATGAACGATTTATCTATCTATCTTCTATGTTATAGCATTTTTCTTTTTAGTTAATTGATAGAAAATAAGAAAAAGAATTAAATTTTTTATCGTTCATAATTTGTTTTGGTTGACAGTAAAATGTGTTTACATGAATTTGTTAACAAAATTCAGTAATTCATTCAATGCGTAAAAATTTTTCAAATTATAAAATAAAATAAATTAAAAGGAAAAAAGAAATTCCAATTTCTCTCTCTTTCTTCTCTCTCTCTCTCTCTTTCTTTCTAATATTATTTTAAAGTATCAAAGAGAAGATGACATACTTTTTTTACTCATTCTGTTTCATTTCTGATACGAACACTTTTCGCTTAATTTTTCATCGTCTGATAAACCAAAATTATTCTTTAAGTACAAAAAAATTAAATTGTCGTCTATTTAAGAATACTTACAATTTGTTATAAAATTATGAAATGAAACATCTCTGTTTTTTCTTTTCTCGGTAATATGAAGGAAAGTTATTTTCCGTAAAGAATCTGCTTAATTTTTATGTGTGTTTATCTTTTTCCAATTGTAAATTCGAGTATTTTTAGTGGAATGAAATATCATCATCGTATGTGTATTATTGGTGGTGGTGGATATTTTGGACAGCATATTGCTGGAGAATTGCAACAGCAGGGCTTTCATACCGTAATTCTTGACATTAGTTTTTGTGATGTACCAGTTGTGAAATTAAATGAATCTCTCACAACCCGAATAAAGGTTTGTTACCTGGAAAATTCCATTTCGATTTCATTTCTTAAATTATACTGATCGATTAATATGATTCATGGAATAAAAATTTTTTGGAATTTATTTTGAAATGGTTATGTGTTCTATTTAATATATATTTTATAAAATGAAAACTTTTCAATTAAAATTATGCTACTACATTTTAGTTAAATTTGTAAAATTTCAACGATCAGTTTTCAAAAGTTTTGTTCTGCAGGGTTCATTATTGGATATAAATGTATTAGATCAGGCATTAAACGGTTGCGTTGCATGCTTTCATATTGCCGCTTACGGTATGACCGGCGGTGCTTCCGTATGTTATATTCCCTAATTCTTTACCTCAAACAATTTCTGAATAATTAAAATAAATGAAGAATAATTATTTACTATTATAAAAGTAATAAATTATCTAATTTTACTGAAATTTACATTATTGAAATTTACATCCAATTTTAATCATTAATTTTTGATTAAAATTTGGTGTAATTTAATTTATCCTAACTTTATAATTGTATTTATATTATTGCTTTGAAATAAGAATTTGATGAAATGAGAAGTTTCATTTTTGAGGTTAAAGGTATATTATTTGCTTTGAAATAGTTAAAAATAGTGAAATTAAATGAAATTTATTGCTGTAAAATTTAAAAAATTATTTGTAATGGTGTTGAAATTTAAGTTGGACAAAGAAATGATATACTTAATTAATGTTACTGGTACTAAACAAGTATTAGAGCGCTGTCGTATCAATGGTGTACAAAGATTTATATTTGCAAGCTCTGTAGCTGTCATTTTTACTGATGAGGAACTACATGATGCCGATGAATTGACCCCATATCCACATCCATCTAAGGTCAATAATTTTAACAGTGAGTTTAATTTGTAAAAATCTGAAATTTCATGTTTTCAAGTAATTAATTGTTAAACGATTGTTATTAAAGAAGCTTAATTATTTATTCAAATTCTTAAAATTGGAATTCAAAGAATGCATAAAAGATTGCTTCAAATCCAATAAAAGCATTTTTTAGACAAATTTATTTTGATTTGTTAACTCAAAACATTATTATTCTAACTAAGACATTCATCAATTATAAAGAATTTAACATAATCTTAACATCAATTTGAATTTATAACACATTTGCACAAGAAATAAGAATACTCATTTCATGATTTGTCCTTCTTTTCTTATAAAAAAATTTTGAATTTCATAAGAAAGAAAAGAATATTTCCAATATTTTATCATAACGTTTAAATTCGAAGTTGAAATCTTCAATTTTAATTTCAAAATATCGAAAAAAATGAATCAAAGATAAGTTTTAAGAACAAAAAGCTAATTTATAATTATTTATGGTAGAAGAAAATTAATTATTTTGAAATTAATTCCAAGTATTGCAGTACTATTCATACTATGCAGCATCTAAAGCAGTAGCTGAGAAATTTGTAGTGAACAGTAACTGTGACACATTAAAAACATGTGCTCTTCGGTACCGTGGAATATACGGTCCGGCAGAACCGCGAACCGTAAAAAGGACAGTGGTAAGTTACTTATTTTTAGTTACATTAAATCATTTGAGCAAAAAATATTTTTCCGATTAAATTTAGATTTTTTTCTTTAATTATAATTTAAATTTTTTTGACATACGTTGAAATAATGACAGTGATAATTTACATCTTCTTTGGTTTATTCTTATGTAATTTATTATTATTTGCTTGTAAGCTTCATTTTTAACAATTGTTCAAAATTTCAAATGTTTAAATATCGAAAAGTTTTTTTAAGGATATGTGCAAACGTGGTTTAGTTTTTGCAACTTTTCATAAATTCCATGAAACTACCACTCAGTATAGTGGAATTGTAAATAGCACTACGGTATGATTATAAAATTTTAATCGAAATAATTCAAACATTTATCAATCGGATCTTCTTTATTCTGCTCGTTTATCTATCCCGCAAAATTTATTTCCCCTTACAGTTAGATAGATATTCGTTGCATTAGGCATTTTTTTAAATAAATTGTTAATTAAAACATATATATTTTTAGGCTATGAGATTAGCAGAAGATGCATTAAGACGAGGTATCGCATGTGGTAAAGTGTATAATATAGTTGATGGTGGTCCACCTGTTGGATCATTCAGTTTTTGGTTTCCGCTTATTCGTGGTAAGCACTTTTTTAGCAATGATCATTTAACAGAGAAAATGATTGATTTCTATTCTCAATTCATATTTGATTTCTATTCTAATTTCTATTCCTAAATTTTCTATTCCCAAAAATTTCTATTTTTTTATCCCAAAAATTAAATTCATATTGGATTTTTTTATTTTAGACTATAAAATTGAAACGATATTTTGTGTGAATGTGTCAGAAAGTTTTTGAAAATTCTTACTTATTTGATACAAATTCTTCTCTTTCAGCATTTAATAAACCATTACCAATGTTTAATATACCGTATACATTGGTAATATCATTGGCTATATTATTCGAATATCTCTATCGCTATTTTGGTCTAGAACCATTATTTACCAGGCTTGAGGTGAATCTTGTCTCAATTACTAATACTTATTCAATTGAACGAGCTAAACATGATCTCGGCTATATGCCAATTCAAAATCATGACCTTACCGAAGTGATATATTTTTATAAAAGAGATAATAATAGAAAAAAAGATAATAAAATTACAATATCATCAATATCATCAGGTAAAAAACATTCAAATATTGCTCTTCTTAATAATATCAGTTTTATTTTACTTATACTAATTGTATTACTTTTTTGGATTGGTAGTGTATTGTTTATGTAAAATAAAATCCCTTATTGTTTAATGTATATGTGTAAACAAAATTTATAATTATTTTAATTATGATTGTTTTGTATGACAAATAAGCTTATCAAATTCATTGATATGAATAATTGTCGAAATGTATTTTTCAATTTAATTATCAAATAAGAATTTAATATTTAGTAAAAGATTACTTTAAATGCAAATAACGAAACATTAAGCAGTTGTAAAATTAATCTTTTGACTAAAACTAATCCAAATTATGGGAGAGGCTGGCAAAAAAAGTTGATACATAGTCGTAATTATTAATTGATTTACTTTTATCATTTCTTTATTTAGAGAATTAGCATCAGAGAAGATTTGAATTGATTTACTAAAATACATTTTCAGCTCCCAACAAAATATTGCAGAATTTTGGAAAAAGTGCCTGTAAAACTATTTGATTTAACTAATATTATGTAATTAAATTATGTCGAATTTTTGTCATCTCTTCATCCAAAATTCATTTTTAAATTATAAATTCAAATTTTGCAACTACACATCAAGCAATACATATATGTTTATTTTTGATATACAGCTATATATTTCCTTTTTGTAAATAAAAATAATTTAAAAATACCTGAATTTTTTAATATTCTAGTTTTTAAAAGTTTCAAATTATATTTTACACCTTTATTTCTAATATTGAAAAACTTGAGGGAATTAAATTGAATAAATTAATGAATTTCAGTCTGTTCTATTTTCAGTAATGAAATGAAAAATAAAATGCAAAAAGAGAAAATTAAAACATAAATTATAATTTTTCTCACTTTTTTTTGTGTCACAAAATGAAATAAATTAAACATTTCAAAATACTAATAAAATGCAAAAAAAAATGAAAAACAATAAACAAATTGAATTAAGCAATTTTCAAATAAATAAGTAATTGTTTAGAATTTATACTGAAATTATTTCATCGTCGATATCAATAAATAATATTTTATATTTTTCATAATCATTTCAAAGTTTAGCAAAATTTATCAAACCATTCTTCAATTAAAATTATGTTAGCTAATGAATTTAGTAAAATTTTCAATTATCTAATCAATGAGATATGTGAATTGCTTTTGTTTTATTTGCAATAATTTAATTCAATTATTTACATAAATTTCAACTATAAATAAATAATGAATAAAAACACATTACAAGAATAAGTTACCATTCTTCAACATGACAGAATATTTGACAAATTATCACATTCCGTTGTATTTTTTTACTTTTGTTATTTGATAAGAATCAATTAATCAGACAATGTTTTCAATGTTTGCTTATTGATTGAACAATCATTTCACAAAATGAGATTTCAAACAAATTATATTTCAAATAGTAAAAATCACAAACTTATACAATTACTTAAAATTCGAATTATTCGTTTAATTTCTTTCTTTTTTGAATAATTTTAACAATTAAAATAAGAGAAAAAAGAACGGATCAAACATTTTGTTTTCAACATTTATAATTATATTAATATGTGTTATTTATAAATTTCGATTAATAATAATTGCTATATTTGTGTCATTCATTTTATTCCTTTCAGTTTTCTTTATTATAATAGAAAATAGAAAAAACGGAAAGAACGGAAAAGAAAGCATTCATTCATTATGAACGAATAAATATATTCAATATAAATTCAAAGTTTCGTCTTATTTCATCATTTACTTCTCATTTGTTGCTAAACTATAAAAATAAACAGAAAATGAATTAAATTTATTAAACAGAAAGGAAGAAAATTGATGTTTTAACGATCGCTTATTATCGATTGTCGCTGTCGGAAACATAATAATGCAACTACAACTAATACTAACTACAATATCGTGCAGAAAATGTCTGAAACCATATGTATACGTTAATTTCATCCAATTCGTAAAATCCCATGCCATAATCAAATTGACAGCCCGCCTACAATTAAACGATAAGCTTCAGACAGTAGGCCTGTCGTCAATGTTCAATTGCAGATACTATCTAGCGTTGCAATAGCATCATTAGCTATGTAGGCACATGTTTATGCTCCAACCACCTAAATATTTGTTAGTAAGAGAAAGTGGTGACAGTGTTAAGTGGGTCGTTGGTAGAGTGTAAGAGATTGTGAAATGTTGTCTTTCCATTCATTTCTAATTTTCATTTTCTGTTTTTAAATTTCTTCAAGTTGAAAAATTTCATCATCGCTTTTACAAACGGATAATTAGATAGCTGTTAGAATAGGATTGAAATCTGCTAATTTGTAAAATAACATTTAGATAGAGTAGAGGGAAATATTTAATTGATGGATATGTAAGAATGATAAATTGATACTTTCTGATTTTCAAATTGAATGTTGTTGAATGGAAGGACAATATCAACTAATGACCAATTCGAAGGTCATCTTTGTGTGTAAACAACTATTTTTTTAACCTTAAGTAATAAATGATAAAATTTTGAATTTTGAAAGAGAATAGATAAATGATAAAAGAAAATTCTTTAAATTTTCATATCAATAATTCTTATCTTATCTTTTCAGATCAATTTTATCAGCAAAAAGATAGATTAATTACTATGAATATTAATGAGTAGAGGAGAGAAAAAGAAATTTCAGGAAATGGCTAAAAACAAATTTGTCATTTCGACAATGTTAAAATTTTATTTGTTGTAATTTTGGCTATTAATTATACTATCATTGTTCTCTAACTTTTTCAAATTTAAAACAGAAACTGAGCAAAACAAATGAGAAAATACAGTGAAATAAGGAATAGAATAATACAGAATAGAATATGAAATGGAATAATTAAACAAAATTTTTGATATTATTTCGAATAAATAAACAATTTTGTTTTTATCATAATGGCATACTTTCAACCAAATCGCCTAATTTAATTTGTCGTTTATCTAAAATACGGCCATCATTACTGCTATTTATATTTATGCTATTATTGTTATTATTATTTATATTATCATTACTGCTGTTTTTGTTGCTCATAGCATATTCCGATTTTGCCATTGCCTGATTTTTCACATTCCGTAATTGAAGTTCCACAAATTGTAAATCGGCAAAAATTTTCGCATCACGTTGTCGCATATAAGCCTGAAATGAATGAATACATACTTCAACAAAAAAAGAAAATAGAATGAAATAGAAAATGATAAATAATTATCTGAATACTATCCCAGATAGTATTTTCTTTTTGCTTCTTTTTTCTTAGAAATATTTATTACTGTTGAAGAATTGATTAGCAAAATGATACGATATGATACGTTAAATTAAAATTGCTATACAGTAGCTTTTAATATCATATTAAACTAAATCTAAACTAAATTAATCATACAGAAACACAATTACCATTTCACGCTTAAGATGATTGAATACATCATCCCAAGATCGAAAATCGCCAGATGATGTTTTTTGAGAGTCACTGGAGCTTATTGATCGTGATAAACCCGAATCATTCATTGGATCATCAATTATCGGCATTGGTTTCATTGTTGATGGTGTGGAATCAAAATCATGGCTGGCAATGATACAGGAATTCGTTGCATCTGAAATAAATTCTATTTTAATCCTTTAATTTAAAAATTTTTTTCAAATTATCACAAATTTTGACTTGCTAATAATTTTAAATTTTTGATTTTCAAAGAAGTAGAATAATTGAAATGAAAATTGAGAGGATTTGAAGGATTTGCTGAAAGAGTAAAGATTATATTTATGCTTCTGAAAGATTTTTTCCTGCAATTTATATTTCATTGATTGTCAAAGGCTATAAACGAATTGATGAAAAATTCATTTACAATTTCTAATACATTTCATGCTTCTATTTTTTATCAAATTTTTCCCTTTACGAATTTAAAATTTGACTTGAAAAATTTTTTCGGCCTATTTCCATGCGAGCTTGTTTGCCTTAAATTTTCCTTACTAAACCTTTCGCCGTTTCACTCTACCATATTATTTATACATCCCATTTAAATCTTTTGTAATTTAAAAAAAGAGAAAAATCTTCTTACCCTGATTAGCAATACTATTATGATCACATTGATCCGGCAGCTCATCATCCGGTAGTTCTAAGGAGTAACTCGCATCAAGAAATGAATGCTGTGGTGATAACGATGTTGTAGGAATTTCGCTTTGCTCTGTTACACTTGAAGCTAATACTTTTGAATGTAACCGGTTGGGAAGCGTTGCTGTATCATATATCCTGAAAATACTAATCAGTTTTATTTGAATCATTCTGTTATGCGATCCGGATTTCATTATATATGTAATTCTATTATATATATATAATTTCATTATATGTTTGATTGTATATTTAATTTTATTTGTACAATTTTATCATACATTTGGTTAAAATTCAGAATAAATGAATAATTTAGCATAATCGATCAATACTTGACAATTGCTTATTTATTTTCCAATTACCATTTTTATCTTTGCTTATTGTTTTAAATAATTTGAAATATTTCAAAAAAAAAAAACGATAATATCAAATATTTAAAAAATCTCAAATTATGCTTAACTAACTTTTTGAAAAATTTTTTTGTTGCTTTAAACGGATTTAACAATCCACCACCGCCAACATTACTACCGCTATTACCGCCAATGCCACCTGGATAATTGCTATATCGACTTGACGTCATATTTCTAAGACTTTGTTTACACGGTGATAAACAAAGTGAGAAGTGATTATCGTTGCCAACACTACGCGATCTGTAAAATGATCATAGCATTTTCAAATTCAAAATTCAATGATATGATTATTTTGATAAGGAAGTAAGTTATTAGTGAGGCATTCAGAAAGCAAAAAAAGAATGAAAAATTAATTTGTTTATGATAAACAATTTTTTGTGATCTTTCTTCCGTTCAAAAATATAAGAGAAAAGATGCATGAAAAAGAGAAAGAGAGAGAGAAAAGGAGAGAGAGAGAGAGAGGGAGAAAATGATATATTTCATCGATGTATTGCATTTGTTTGTTAATATTTAAACTTCAATTTTACAATTTCAATTTAATTTTGTTTAAAACATAAAAATGTTGTAAAAATAAGCTTGCTACACAATGTTTGTTAATAAATTTGTAAAGAAAGATTCTTACTTTAATGAATTCAGTTTTAAAACAGCAACAGAAATAGTAATGAAATATTGGAAATAATTTTCATGGATGTTACCCATTTCAGTATTTTATTGCTGTTGATCGATGAACTTCGCACAAAATTTAATTATCGACTATCTGTGATGAATTGTTATCCACACTTCCCTACACTTATTTATTTGTTGTTGTAATTTTAATAAATTCATTTTACTTCAAACCTATTATTGACCCCGAAAATTAAATGATAAATGTAATAGCTCAGTCATCATAATTTTTTGCATATATTGCACATATGCATGCCTTATGCGTAAAATATTTGCATATATGCAGAATGGATTTATATAATCGATTAAATTTCACTTCCTACAATGAGTAAAAATATTTTAAAATTAAAAAAAAGTAATTAAATGAAATAAAATAGAAAATATAAATATTTAAAGATATTTATACCTTTGATGTAATCTTTCTACGTTTGTTATAACTCTATCTTTTTTCCGTCGACTTAATGACCCGTATGATTGATTCGGCAAGACTCGATCATCATATTCAGTTAATTCTTTCCCATTTCGATTAATAATTATATCTAAAATTTCATTACATTTTATCCTATCAGAAATGATTTTTCCCTTATTTCTCTTCCATTTTCGACAATTTATGCTAAAATTTCAAATAATTTATTTAAATTTGTCATAATTATTTGACAAAAATATTATGTCTTTTCTAAGATATTCCTCATAATATTGCTATAATTATTTGAATAATTACGCTTATAATTAAATAAATTGGAAATAATTAGGAGAATAAAAATAAATGAGCTGTTAAAAAGAAAAAAAGAATTTAGTTCAATAACAATAGGAAAGGGTTGACTTCAACGATGACCTAATAACCTGATTCCGTTTTTTCTGAAATTTCCTGGAAATGATAGCTTTTAACTAATGCTATAATTCAGTTATCATAATTAATAGGATAATAGAAATGGAAGAAGGAAACATTAAACAAAGGGATCTAATAGAATTACTCAATAATTCGAATATCCAACAATTTAATTATTCCTTTCACAGAATTCAAAAAAATTTTAAATGTTTTAAAAAACAATGTGATTGAAATGAACAATGAATTGATGAAAGAATGAAAAAAACTGAAATTTTAGCCTAATTAATATTAATAAATTTCAAACCAAAGATTTTTAGCTTTTATTTTACTGAAAACATTAATAATTCTAAAAGTTTAATTTTGAATATTTATTTTCATTAATGAGGAAATTATTGCTTATTATTATAATGCAAAAACTGATCAATTATGCTATTAAATCTTGTACAATTAGTGAAACATTAAATTAATTATTTTAAAAAAAAACAAACGATTGATGAAAATAACTATTAAAATTGAAATTTAACTTTCAATGAAATGAAAAACAAAATTCCTTTTGGTTTGAAATTTTATTTAAAATATTAATTAGGCTTAAATATAAAAAGTAGCACTTTTATTTTGCTTATTAACATTTAACCGTATATAATTAAAAATTCCTTTATTTTAATTTTTCATTGATTAAATTAATCTTATCATTTGTAAACGTAAATAGAGGTTAAAGATAATTAAATGCACATTTTAAGTAATTTAATAAATATTTAGAAGTAAAGTTAATACATAAATTGATTGATATACAATCAATTAATGCTTCGATAATTTAAATCGTTTGAATTTTAAATTATAGAAATATTTGAATCTTTTATTAACATATTTCAATAATTTAAAAATTTTACTTAATAATTACTTCTCTGAACAATTTTTATATTTTACAAATTTGCTGCAAATGTTAGAGATTAATAGGACAGCCATTTCAGTTGCAAAAAGAGTTTAATGGAAAACTAATTATTGATATTTGTTATTACAAAACTATTCTGATAGATTTGCATCATTAACTATTACGCCTAAATAGGTCTGTGATAGCTAATGTTTATTTAATTTTTATTCATTTATTTAGTGTTTATTTATTGATTACTTTTTTATTATAATATCCACAACAAATAATAGCAGCATAATTTGTTTTCTTCTTGAAAATGAATTAATAAGTAATGAATAAATAAATAATAATTTACAGCTTCATTGTTCAAATATCTTATCGATTAAATTATTGAAAATATTAATCATTGGAATGGATAAATTATAATTAACAGAAATCAATGATTTATAAGATTTTTCATATCTTTTAGTAATTTTTCTCTTTTTTCATTTGCAATTGCTTAATTTGCAAAGATGTATAGTAGGAGGAATTAATTAATTTCACGTATGGTAAGTGAAAAAAAATAAAAGAAATATTCTGAAGTTGAAATTGGAGAAAAAAGGAAATTTTTAATTTTTGGATTAATTTAGATTACGGTGCAATGACCCTAAAGATTATATTGGTAACGGATGAGATTTAAATAGATTATAAGTTACTTTCTCCTTTCTTTACTAATTCCTTTCTCTTACTAAACCATTTAATCTTTCAGATTAACCTTCTCTTTGACCTTTATTCTAATAAATTGTTTATTGCAATCAAAATTTTGCAAAAAAGAAAATAAACAAATAAATTTTATAAATGTTTCGATTTCTGAAACTATTTAAGGTGTGAGAAATTTTAGAAATATAATTTTAAAATTATTACTGCTAAATCAATAAAAGTTGAATTCAATTGATTAAATTTGTAAAAACAAACAAAAACTTTTTAAGATTTCAAAAAATGAAAGAATACAATTAAATGTTAAAATTAATTAAATTAATACAAATTATTTACATTATTATGTAAAATTAATTCATCAAAAAAAAAGAACTATTTTTGTTCTTTTATAATTAAATTGAGAAAAAGAAATAATTGCTGCCAGTATGCATTACACAACAATAGCCAACAACAATTGGTCATTAAATCTTCTTCCTCCTTCTTCCACAACACATCAACTTCAATACTGAAATATCTTCCCTCATTTCTAATGACATATTTCTTACACATTATCCATTATGAGAAAACTTTTACTTCCCTTTCTTATAACAAATGTAGTTCTAAAAATAAAAGAAAACAATGTAAGAATTTTGAAATTGAATTGATTTTTAAATTTAAATTAATCATTATTAAAATTATAGCAAAGAGTAAGTATGCAAATTGAAGATTTTATAAATCAATGATTTTTCTTTTCGATAACAAATGTAATAACTAAAAGAAGAAAATTAAACCTAAAATTAAATTTAAATTAGTACGTATATAAAAGTATTAATATTTGAATGATTTAAATTGCAACGGATAAATTTGTGAGAATTCTTAAAATATTTCCAAATTTGTTGATTGAAAAGAAAGGAAGAAATCATTTTCCGCATTGTTGCATTCTTTTGATCATTTTGTTAGATTGTCAAGTAATAGTGAATTTAAAAATGAAGAAATGAAATTGAAATTAATGAAATTGAAACAATACTGCCAGAGAAATGAATCATTTCAGTCAATTATTTCCGGTAATTCACAAGATTCATGCGGAAAAATCTGCAAATTTGATAAGAATATTGTCCCGATTAATGGAATAATGAATTTAAGCAATCACACTTCATCATCGATCAGAGCCGGTAGAAGTCAGAAATTGAATTGATATTTTTCTTTCTGAATGAAAACATGCCTTTTTTTTAAGGATCGACAACTGGACCCATTTCTTTGATTTTGCATTAGTTTATTGCAAATGAAATGAGAATGAAATTACAACTTTTATTGTCTTTTTAGCAAGAAGCTTAGATTGTTAGCAAAATAATGAAGCATAAAATTCATATTAACAAGCCAAACAACTCTGATCGATTTTAAAAACGTTGTAAAAGAATGTCTTAAAATTGTTAGATGAAATTAAATTTAGAAATTGTTATGAAAAAAGAAAGAGCAGACAAAATCTCTTAACAACAAAAATGAAAAAAACCATTGAGATATCTTCTTGTTTGAGTAATAGACTTTTCAAACTTTTTGTTTAAAAAATTTGAAATATTGGAGAAACTTTTTTTAATGGAAATTTAAAATATTTCTCTCAAAAGTTTGCAAAATATTCCACCAATAAAAAAAAATGGGTTTGAAAATAAATGGGTTTTGAGATATTGGAAGCATTGTGAATGTCGAAAAACGAGGGACAAGCGACAATTTTCATCGATCACAAATTGTTTCAAATTCTTAAAAATTAATGATAGATTCGTTTTGATGAAAAAATTTGAAATTTAATTATGATTTAATCGATTTATCCTTTTTATAATTTAATCGATTTATTCTTTTTATAATTTAATCGATTTATTTAATCTTTAAATAAAAAAATATATTCCTCCTTCCTTCCAGCCTTTATAACAAATGAATAATTCTAATGTAATTAACAAATTTAAACGAATTGTTTTATTAATGGAGTAGCATAATATATGCAGTTAAATAAATTAAACTTATATTGTTAATAAGCTTTATTTATAATAAAAAAAATTAGTTAAAAACGTGAAATACGTGAATGAAAGAAAATTGCAAGCAAATAAGTCAACTATTAAATATTAAGGAATGTTTAAATAAAGTTTGAAAAGAAAAGGAAATTTCTTGAATGCATGCACTTTGCATTGGCATATGCATGTTACATGCATTTCTATTGATTGCTGTATGTTACGCTTACATCTCACGTCATTGCTTATCAATCATTATCATTGATTGATGACGTCAATCGTTTGTGTGGTTGTTATTTTGCTAATTTCAATTGAAATACTTTTAAAATATTCAAATTTCCTTTATTTATTGCAAGAATTTCTTCTTTTTTTCTGCAACTGATCAAAAGAAAAATTCAAATTTGTTGGTTAAATTATATAAATTTAAATTGAAATTATCATTCTCACACAATCAATCAATTACACTTTTCCTTCCACCCACCTCCAACAGATAACAAATATATATTTATCAATTGAATTGAAACAAAAGAAACAATAAACAGATTTCACTAGCAACTACCAGTTCTTTTCTATTGAAATCATTTTTTGTACTGATACCTGATATGTCGACTGGTCTGAATCCGGTTGCTCTTTCTCTTCGTTGCCTATCTGTATGCCGTATCATACTTTCTTGTTTTATCGTTCCTATAGTATCATCCAAATAAGTATTACAATTACAACTGACCGAAATTCCGAATTTTGCTGGTTTTAATGTGCAAAATTGATTGGTAACTGCCATCGAATAATTCTGATTCGTATCGAATGATCTAAAAAATAAAAAGATATTTTTTTTTAATTTATTAATTAAGTGCATTTATTGATTATATCCAAATTACGAATTTTATAGTTGCAGTTGAAATTTGAATTGAAATTTTAAATTTTATTAAATTTGTTCCATAAGAGCGGTACTAAAAAATGAATAAAATATTGCATTATAATTGCTTAATTACTAATTATTATTACTATTACTTTTTTTAGTTTAAACATTCTTTTATAAATGGGAAACTAAAATCTTTTCACAACGATGAGAGCATTTTATGAAATAAGAAAAGCAAAGATGCCATTGCCAGCTGATAAAAATGTTTATCAAAAATAAATTATTAAATTAAAATCAACAAATTAGGAAAATGTTTGGTCATTAAAATTTATCGAAAAAAATCAAATTATAATTAATAGTTTGAAGAAAAAGAAAAAAGACAATAAACAAAAAATGAATAAATTTGAATAATAAAGACAATTTAAAAACATCAAATTTTAGTAATTTGAAATTCGTTCAAATATATTTCATCAAAATCTATTTACCATAACGAATAACCCATCGAATTTTCTTGTAAAATATATATTACTTTAATTTAAATTTACAGTTTATAAAATGCTCACAAAAAGAGTTTTTCAATTTCGTAAAAAATTTACCTTGCTAATAATATAAATTTCTTAAAGATATTGAAATGCTAACATTTTATTATATTACATTTATATAATGTACTGTTTGAAATATTAGCTGGAAAAATATTTGATCACTAAAATCTATAAAAAAAGGAAATTAAAATTATCAGTTTCTATTAGAAATTAAAATTATAACTATTAGAAATAATAATAATAATAGATAATGCTAATAATAATAGTAAGAAATGATGTTTGCATTCCATTCATATTTTTCCTAATTTCCGTTAATGGTACTTTGAATGTTTTTCTTCGTAAACAATTCCTTTGGTTTATTTTTGTTATAAAAACATTATCTCTTCTATTCAATTCAAATTAAACTTTAAATTTAGGATTGAAATAAAAATGCCATTTAATCCATTTCAATAAAATACAACGATCGAATTGTATTGTCACGCATAATACTGAAAAAAGAACGTCTTTAACAAAAGGAAATAAATATGAGAATTTAGAGTTTAAATAACAATTTAGTAAATTGAAAAACGAAGAAAGCAAAGGATTTCATTTTGAAGTAATTTATAAAAATTTCAAAGATAATATTAAAAGCTGTGTGAAAGTGCACGTAAGAAAAGTAATTTTTAAAAAAGTGAAAAATGAAAAATTCATTTTTTGTTGAATTGTTGCCATATTTCCCTCAATTTCTTTTATTTTTTGTTAAAATTTAAAAAAATAAATTGATAAGATTTCTTTTTTTAATTTATTAATTATCACTTTGTTATCATTTTGTTGTGAAATTTAACTTTCTAAAATAATATAATTGATAATTTCATACAAAACGATAATTTTAGGTTGTAAGAAAAAAATTTAAACTCAAAATTAATTCGTACTGAAATTATAATTTAATGAAAAAGAAAAATTTTTTTTATTAAACAAAATAAATCAAAACAAAATTATTCAATCGAAAAATTTTGTAATTGTTTTCGTTTGATAATTCAAATCTAATGGAATTGATAAAAATGATGGAAAGCCAATCAATGGTAAAAATGCATTTTAAAGTTTTTATACGAATTTTATAAATTTGATTAATTTTTCAAATTTCTTCTTTTCTCTCTCTCCTTCTCTCTTCCTTTCTCTTCCTCTCTTTCTCTCTCTCTCTCTCATTTTGTTTATTGTTACCATTGCGTGCATTTGTCCTATTTAGCCTAAAACTATTTATATTTTCAACAATGAAATTACAACTTATAAATCAAACAAACAGACCTATTTATATTACGTATTTCTTCAGGAACTAAAGAGTGTAAACGAATTTTGTAAACACATATCATTTTAATGATAACATATCATCCATTCCACTCCCAAAAAAAGAAGAATATTTCTACAAATAAAAAAGAAATAATTTTAACTTAAAATATAAATTTGAAATAATAAATAATTTTAGTAATAAATTTAAGTACGGATAAAATGAGAGATCAAATTGAAAATGCCATTCCTATCAGATAATTGACCTTGGCGATTGAATGAATTGAACTGAAAGAGTATTCCAATAATTTATGAAAATATTTCATTTTATAAAAACACCCGCAAATACTTTAATATTAAATATAATGAAAGGAATAAAATGGAAGACAAAAATTTGTACATTTCCCTAAAAGTTTATGAATGTTATGCATTTTAATCAAAGATGTTTATTTTATCCAAAAAACCAATTGACCTATTGAATGACCTTGAAGATGATAGAGGTGGATACAATTTAACAAGTTATAGCAATGAGAATTAAAAACAAGTTTAGTTTTAGCAAAACAAAAAAGAAGGTTGGAAAGTAAAAAGTGGCGCGTATTTCTTTTTGAATTGAAATGGTTAAGGCAATTGAAGAAGGAAACGAATAATGGTATGAATTTCAACTAACAACAATTTGAATACTTTCAATTTTGAAAAATTTTAACAGAAATTGAATTGAATTGAATTGAATTGAATGGAATTGAATGGAATTGAATTGAATGGAATTGAATGGAATTGAATGGAATTGAATGGAATTGAATTGAATGGAATTGAATGGAATTGAATGAAATTGAATGGAATTGAATTGAATTGAATGGAATTAAATTGAATTGAATTGAATTGAATTGAATGGAATTAAATTGAATTGAATTGAATTGAATTGAATGGAATTAAATTGAATTGAATTGAATTGAATTGAATGGAATTTATAAAGCATACGTTTTTAGTATATTTTCTCTAAAAATAGAAAGAAAATAAAGCAAATTTCATATTTTATATTTTCTTCTAAGGAAAAAAAAGAGTTCCTAAAATATTTCAAAATATTTCACAAAATTTTAAATATGAAAAATTACGCAATAATTTTTACATACAAAAATTAATTCAATTAGACGCAAGTAGGAATGAAATAGAATTATTCATCGAAAAATATATATTTCGTTAGAGTTAGTAAGCTTTGTTAAAAGAAATAATTATAAAGCACTTTTGATATTCTAACAAACAAATATAAATTTTAAATGTTAAAAAATAATTTGAACTATACATTTTCTTATTCAATAAATTCACTCTATGAACTGGACACTTGACCTTTTAATAGAAATAATGTGACCCTTGCGAGTTTTAATAATTTAAAAGTTGAGGAATGATATGATAAGATATGCTTAAATAATGAAAAGTAAATCGATGAAGAAAATTTGAAATAAAATTGTATATCAGAAAATTTTCCAGGAAAAAGTGCAGAGTTCAAATTTGCTAAGTGAATTTTTTTATATTTTATTCTAAAATTTTAGAATTTTAGTTATGAAGCTTTTTATGGTTTGATCCATCCATATATCCATCGATCCGCTTATATTTGTTGCAAATTTTCTACAACAGATCTCTGAAATTCGCCAAGTTTGCCGTATTAAACTTCAAATTTCCGATAATTAATCAGAAAAAAGAAGTAATAATGAAAAAAAATGGATGTTATAATTATTAAACAAATAAGAAAATTCATGCATATTAAAAGATATAATTTTAACCGTCTAAATATCTTTTTCAAAAAATTTTGCATCCTTTAAATCAATGAATTATCTTTTCTTTTTTAAGATCATAAACTAAATCTGTCAAAAAGACAGCAATTTTGCTTTGAGCATTTTTGATTCACAAAAGATGCGAAAACAAATGAAAATTGAAATTTTTGGAAAAAGTTCAAAAAATTTTTCAAAGAAATTTTTGAAGTTATGGAATAATTTTAATTCGAAGTTTTAAATTCTTTTACACTGAGAAAAGATACATAAATAGGATGAGAAAATCTTATCCTTTTCTATAAATGCCTAAATTTATTTTATGAACTCTAATGAGGCTTTAAATTAAGAAGGAATTTCGAAACGTTAAGATGAAAGCATAGAGCGTATTGATAATACGTGATATGATTTCATATCTTCAAAATTGTTTATTTACATAAACAATATTGGAATTGAATGAATGATTTAGAGAAAGATATTTAAATGAATGAATGAATACCTGTAGAAAGATATTCAAATATATAAAAATGTAAATAATAAATTGATTGTTTAAAAAAATGAAGATGAGAAAATGAATGATGAAAATGATTCTAAAATATTATAAAAGTATATGTCAACAAATCAGGAGTCAAATTCAATCAGCAAAAGAATAATTCATAAGAATCATTCTACTATCATTGAAGGTCATCAAGATACTACTAAGATGAAAATTCATTAGTAAAACATATATATCTTTGGTGAACTTTGGAAATATGTAATCTATCATTGCTAATGGAATGATTGATTGTGCGGTAAATGTTAGTTTCACATTCATTAATAAATAAAGATAATTAATCAATTAATGAACAATTTACTTAAATGATAGGAAACAAAGCAATTAGGAGATTGGTATTATTTGGAAAAATGACCCATTTAAGGGAAATATGTTAGTTGGTGAAAATTTGATAAATTAATGGCTTAATATTAATTGAAAGCAAAAAAAATTATTATTAAAATATTTGCGTTTAAAAAATGAAATCCAAAATTTTATCATTTAATTAAAATAATTTATTCAAAATTTTTTAATTTACAATTTTTCAATTAAACTAATTGTTATCGAAGCGAAGAAAAGAAACTTTCACAATATATTGTGAAGCATAATTAATTCATTAAATAAATCAATGAAAATCTGATAATAATAGTTTGGAGTTAAATTCTTCAACAAAGTAAAAACTTAAATTTCAGTGGCTTATATTGCTCAAATTTCTATTTCCATTTGCTTCTATGAAATTCTCTCAAAATGATTTATGAGAAAGTTTTAGATGAAATTATTGTCTGATAAAAGATTATTTAATTGGTACGAATTAAAATTACT